GCTGTGCAGGTTTATTTCCACATCTCTTTCAAAGACTTCCAGTGTTCTTCCACACAGGTTTCTTCAGGTGTGTTGCTCGATATCCCCCATTTTGTCTTGATGGCTGACTGCCGTGAAGATCTCCTTTGTAGTTTCATCCTTCAGTTTCCGAGTGTTGTACTTGAATTGAAGTATATCACCAGCTTCCTTGAAGGCTTTTAACTTGATTTCGAAGGTTCCTTGCACCGGGTAGTGGTCCGAACCTACATCTACTCCTCTTCTTGACCTTGTGTTCAGTAGACTGCGTCTCCATTTTCTTGAGATTGAGATAAAGTCGATTTGATTTTTAGTGTGTCCATCTGGTGAAATCCATATCTTTTTGTGGATATCCCTGTGCTTGTACACAGTGCCTCCAATCACCAAATCGTTGAGTGCACAGAATTCTGCAAACAATTCTCCATTCTCGTTCATCACCTCATCGAGCGCCTCTCGACCCATGGTTAGTTCTCTTCTTGTGCTGTCCCCTCCCAGTTTGGCATTCATGTCGCCCATTAGAATTTTGATGTCGCCAACTGGCGTCTTGTCCAATGTTGATTGAAGTTGTCTGTAGAATTCCTCCTTTTTCTCTTGCTCTGCATTATTTATAGGTGCATAGCATTGTATGATCGTGACCTTTCTTCCTTTTGAGTTGAATCTTGCTGTCATGATCCTGGGGGAGATTGGTTCCCACTGCATGAGAGCCCTCAATGCTCTTGGGGACATCATGATAGCCACTCCAAAACTCAGTGTGTCCTCGTGATTGTCGTCCGGGTGACCGGAGTAGATTATTGATCCTCTAGTTGACAGTTTGGAGACTCCACTCCCATTCCAAGCACTTCAGTGTGATACCTTCTCATCTCTTTTGCGATCTGGGCTGCCTTGCTGGGTTCAAACATCGTGCGGACATCCCATGTCCCCACGTTTACTTTCGTTTCCATCGAGAGAAGACGCGTCGGCCAATTGGCTTCCCGAAGGTTCTCACCAACTGGCATCATTTCGCCTCTCCGATTCCAGCGAGGAATAATTTTATTATTTTTTATATATCGTTTGTTCTTTGAAGTTTGTTTAGCGGTTAGATTTGTTTTCCGGTGTAGGGTTGCTAGCCCTATGCCCAACCTTCCCTCTTTACCCGGGCTTAGGACCGTCTAGTAACTAGCGAACTAGTTAGCCAGGCGATGCGATGTATCCGGGAGCTTTGTTCGGACTCGTTATAAAACCTTTTCAGTAGTTCACAATTGAACGGGGATTAGATTGGTGGGTCTATAGTAGCTGACGCTGGCCGTATCTCCACTTTCGGGATACGGAATTACAAAGCCATCTTTCCATTCAGGGGGATACGTTACAGTCTCCATCGCAAGAGTGAACAATTTAAGGAGAATCAAGGAAATATCCTGCTCACTCTTCCTGGGGGCTATTAAATAGAGACAGTTTACTCTCACTCCTTTCACTGATCCCATAGTTTTAATGGCTTTCAGCGTTTTTACTAGTAAGCACCACAGTCAAAGGCGACCGCTGAACAGTGGTAGGGTATTGAGAGAAGCATATGTTTTGCAGCTGAAATTCGAAGTCCAGTAATCGAACAGTTTTTAAATCACGTCTGTTTTGCTGTAGACTGCCTCGTTATGAGGCGACTACTCCATGCTTCTCTTTGCATGAAAACATTTTTTGGAAGTGACGCTAGACTGTATATCCTGCAGCTAGGTTTGAGGTCTTTTACCTCCTCTCTTCAGGCTTTTCGTTGGAGTGGCTTTTTGACGAATTCAAGTGTCACATGGATCAAATGCAACACAGAGAAATCCTCGGTGGATTAGCCAACGTTTGACCGTCGCCTGAGCTTTTGCAGCATACGAGCGGAGTGTTTTCTCAGTGGTTGTGTGGTTTAACCGTGTTCACAGGGACACGACAAGACATTCCTGTATAAATGGAATACCATGGTTATCACTGGGTGGGTGGGTCGACCAACGGGGAGGACCTAGGAAGCCCTGTAAAAAGTCTCCAGCCCATACCTTTAAAGCTACGATATTCAGTATTCCTTAAAGCTTGCTTATTTCACGTTCTTAGCTCTGGGATGGGTAGATGACAGAATAGCGTTCTACAATGAACATTGGAAAATTCACCACCGATATGAGTAGCTGCGGGGATGCTACGACGGCAAAATGCCACTTCCAAAATGCTGCCACGAGGCCCAGGTGCATTGAAATATTGGCCCCCCTTTAGCATCTACCACGCCAAGTATCTCATCGAAGCACTGCGGACCACAAGCAGCCATGTGGTTAACTTCCGGAAGACTTAAGTCTCCAGTAATCAATTTAAAATTCTAACTGTATGTGGGGGACGCGCAAACCACTTGGTCAGGAGTTTGTCCCTTTACGCCGTCGAGCATAGTTCTCGGCATACGAGACTTAAGAGCATTTCGTACTTGTCACCACGCAAGGTGACCCCCAGTGAGTAGGGCTCTGCATTAGAGATGCTGCCTTCAGCCGTATTTGCCGTAATTCGGTTGCATATATCTATGGGACAGCCATCACCACGCCTATGATGTCGATGGTGCGATTCTGAGGGCAGGGATTTTCATAGATAGGGAATGCATGCTGATGAGCAGTGGTGCAAGTAGGTTTCCGCTGCTGATTAGCCTACTTATGATGTCTGTTACCCTAGATGGTGTGCAGTTAGTGTTATAAACGAGCTGAGAATCCCCACTGGTTTGTAGCAACGGAGGAATGGGTCAACTTATAACATCCAAGCGTGTTGGATAGGGGAGCCGGCTTATCAACAAGTCTTAGGTCCCTACTGATGTCCCATGTTGAGGTTAATCGTCGGTGGGTATCACTTTGGGCAGTTCCAATTTTGTGTCATCGTCGTGTGGGCTGGTCTTGGTTGTCATAGATCGTGTATCTGGCTTGGTAACCGAAGAAATCAAGAGACCCAGGTGCACCAACTCTTCATTGACAGGAAGGATGATGTACCCAGTCCTAGGGCGACTATTGTGTGAGTCACAGCCTGGTGCAGTGTTCTGGCAGGGAAGATGAAATTCTTCACCACTTGTTGCAATGCCAGATGGCAGCATGCTGTGGTTCATGTGTTCGCCGAAGTGACGTTTGATAACACGGCACCCACCCCTAGTGGGTGGGTTATGACAACGTGTATGAGCTGAAAGCTTTCGGTTAGGAACAATGGCTTATGTTTCTTGGGAGTGTGCATTTGTGCTGCGACCTTTCCAAACACTATTGGACAGGATGGATTTAAACCTACCGCGTTCGCACTTCGTATTGAGTTTAAATTCCAGTGTTGTGTGTGAGGGCCTTCCTGCCTTAAGTTCCTACTTGAAGAGGTTGTTAACTATGCCTTGACGAGTGTGGTCTGCCTTTCGAAAATATTAGGCCCAATACATGATCACGCTTTTACGGAGAAGTAGAGGTTTGTTCTCACCCAAATATATGCAGCGTCCTGGGAGCATTTTCACACCCAGCCGAACCAAAAAGTGAATTCCGCCTAATTCCATTTAAAGTCACCACCTGTGATCTCGTGACTATATGAAACGCAGGATGAGTATCCGAGGGCCGTAACCAGTTGAGTTTCATTGGATAAATCTAACCATTACTGCGCTCCCCATATAGTCTGTGGCGACCCATGGAAAGTCAGTTATCTTTTCCAGCCTGGATACCGTCAGCATGCTTGGGAAGTAGATCAGGCGACCTTCAACCTTCTTTTTTCGGTCACTCTGGAAGTGTGTACATGAGAACAATTATCTCTCCATCTGGTGCATCTGCATGGCAACGAAACTGACTGCTGATTATTAAGGGCGGTGTAGGTATGAAAGCGACTCTTAATAAAAGCAATTCTCTAACGACAAACCTGGCACTTATGAGAACGATTTACAGGCGAGAGGAGCATTAGTATCTGAAGCTTTTGAACTTATCAAACAGACTCAGGGACAGCTCATATCCCTTGATTGGGCATAGTTGATGACATTTTTATATACATCACTGTACCTTGTCCATCTGTACTTGTAGGGTTAATTTGACATCCCAGTGACATTCGTGAGTGATTTGATACAGCTTTATTTTCATCAGAGGAAAAGGGAATACCTTTATCTTAGATGTTCGATGCACAAATTTTATCCACCTGAACAGTCTGATTCAGCGCAGATGGAGTCTCCGGTGTCCGTGTTCGCCTCATGCAAAGTAGTCAATGTTTGTTTCCCAAGAGGCTGGGGATACCAATAGAAGCGTTGTTTAAACCTGTTGCGCATTCGTATTTATCGAAAATAACTGGCTGATTAGAAACCGGAATCCGCGTTTATTTTCGGCCACGTCTTTTTGGCTGCTGCGACGAAGTTAAAGTTAGTGGTAGGGAGTGAAGGGCTTCAACATCTCCATAAATTGTTTGGTCAACGCTGTAGCTGATAGAGATGTAATGAATAAAATATTGTTGCCTTTTGGCATTCTAAGTTAAATTTTGTTTCGCGTTGTATCTATCATTAGAAATTTATCCCTGTTACACTTCACATCGGCTATAACCAGCTAATTTTGATTAGGGGTCGGGTGTTCCTTTGCAGAAAAGTACCAAACAGTCATTTGAAGTTCCTTCTCAACTCGCACCTTGGTGATATTGGTGTCGTTTTAGAGCCCTTCTTTCATTAAACGATAGAGTCCTTTGGTTTTGGAGTCCGTTGCTAGCCGTATTACTACTGGGGCAATCGTTTCAGCAGCACGTAGATTCTTAACTTAATGAATGTGCATGGTGTAAACGTTAGTTGTCAGAAAACACCTACGCTACCGTGGCCGAAATTGAAAAAACGAAAAATTCCTCTACCCAAAAAAAAGCGGAACAGAACGACAGGGATCAAACTTCAAGAAATAGACATGAGAGTAGAAAAGCCATCAGTATTTCTTACCCCACTATTTATACTGTATCTCCTCCTACTCACATCTATAGAATAATCCACCTACAGTAAAGGCAGAAATTATCAGTGACTGTTCGATACAGATTGTTACGAACCAGCTGACCTGATGTCCCCAATACTGTTAGCTGTGTTCACCTTGTGAGCTGTCTCATTACTAGCGGGTGATTGGATTGTTGCGTTATATTGACCCGAGAATGACAAAGTTTAACTTGGCGAAGCTCAGAAAGACACTTAGAACTCCTCAAAAGCATTCACCAAGTCTAATTAAAAAACAGACGAAATCATTTTCAAGCTTAAAACATAGGAAAAAGCAAAACAGCTTTGATTTACTAATAAATGCATCAATGTAAATTCATTAACCTCTCAACTTTTAATTTAGAGGTTCCGATTTTTGAATGAAAAGCTGTATACTTGTTCAAGCAAAGAAGCAGTGAATTTGTTTAAGGAGGATCCTGAAGCATTCAATGTATACCATGAGGGTTATCAGCTGCAGTTGTCAAAGTGGCCACAAGATCCCATCCTTTGGGTTAAAGATGAGATCATTAAGCATTCTTCAGGTTTTGTTAATAGCTGTAAAGTAGCAGATCTTGGTTGCGGCGATGCCCGGTTAAGTCGCATGTTGTCCACTAGATACAAGGTGTACTCTTTTGATCTTGTATCCTCAAACGAACACGTTATTGCTTGTGATATGGCTCATGTATGTTGATTGTTGCCTTTTTCTTGTTGGTTAGCTCATTTGTTTCTAGTAGATGAATATGCTGAGATGAGCCAGCTTTTGGGCTTGTATACATTTCCTCCCATAAGACCTTATGACGTTAAGGTGTTTTGTATTATGCATACGACTTCGTGGACGATACATCTGAAAAAATTATGTGATACGCTTGTCATATCTTGTGATGCTGTACTTTCTACTTATTCAAACCCATCCAAACTTTAATACTGGAGTAAATTAGTTCTGTGAGTAGGCTTCTAGAAAGTACAACGATCTTACTTAGCTTCTGATCTACAAAATCCTAAGCTTTTGAGTTTGAGGACTGAAAGCGTTGTTGCCTATTTGTCCTTCTCCCTACATGTCTGTTCAGCTTTTCAGTCTGCTGAAATAAACCAGCTGAGAATATGGACGCCTTGTTTTTTATATTAAGTTGCAAACGTTGATCACTCACCGTCAAGTAAATAAAATAGTAAAACTCACCAACCAGTATGTGTTCATTTCCTGGGTTGCGAACTGCACTTAGTGGATGTTATCTTGTCATACTATACGGAGTAGGTTTGAATTATGAATTCATAAGCCATTGCTCCAGGGCCGAGTACCCAAAGCAATGAGTCGTCTTGACGAAAAAAGCGGTAGGAGTCCCTGCCCCTCACACTTTTTCGTTGTATTATCTTCACAGCTATAGGTCATTTGACCAGGCTTTTGACTTGTAACCAGTGGGTCGCGGGCTCCATTTAGGCCTAACCTACTTATGTTGGTGTACATAGGTAGTATCATTAGTCCTCACACGCTAGGTAATATGATCGAACTCAGTATGGTATATGTTTATGTACTAGATTGTGAGCCACACTTGTTCGAGGGTCTACGATATCACCTGTTCCTCAACATTAATTTAGGTGGGTTGGAGCTCAAATTTGAGACTCATTGGTTGATACGTGTAGCTCACTGCTTATTGCACAAACGTCGCATGGTCGTATTGCGTTTGTTGTCTCGTTTGATATTTTGTGATCAGTTAGGAGAAAAGAGATCTGTCGGATAAAATATAGTCACTAATTATGTGAAGAGAACTGAACCTTTAATCTAAGATTTGGAAGAGAGATGAGTTAAATTTAAAAGTTGTTCATTTTCAGTTAAATCAACCATTTTAAAAGTTACGTATGTGACTGTTTTCTTAAATTCTTTCAAAAGACTCAATTCACTTTTCGAATAATTTACTGCTGATAGCGAACTGAAGATATATTGGTACTCACCTAGTAACATCATTTGTGGGGTCACAGAATATTTTGTCACCTTTGCTGGACATATATATGATAGAGTAGTGTTTTGCTGTGCTATGAAATTGTACGTACTTGTGTCAATTTGAAAATGCGACTGGTATTTGTTAAATGCTATCTTGAAAGCAACATATGCCTGTACTAAGATTCTCATATGAGTAATGTGAATGCTGAGTTGAAGGTTCTAAGTACGAAAAATGATTTAGTTTTCAGTGTCCTGATCTGCGTTACGACGACCTCCTCAGTAGTTTAAAGTTCGTTGTTAATTGTCGTTGCCATACGGTAATCTGTAGACTGTCTCGTCAGGTGGTGTTGAGAGATGAATTTTAACTCAGGATCCACATGTTGTAGTCTGGTATCGGCTCTTTTTATGTGGGTTTTGATCCTATTTGTATTGCAGACCTGAACAGGTACAGTGAACTCTCAATCTGTGATTAATTGGTTCCAATTTGAATTAGCTGGACAGTTTCCGAGGTTTCCCTCATCACTGTAAGCTGTCAGCTTTTAATCGGTATGTTTTAGGTTTGACTCCAGTTTCACCTACCTGGACATGGCAAACAGGGCAGTTTCATAAGCCTCCGAACAGTAAGTTAGGTACGTAGACACTTGTATCGAGTGAAGATGCAGTAGTTTTTAAACGATGTTTCTCTGAGGTCCTATGGACAGAATTTCGGTTTGAAATTAGAACAGATTACTCAATCCAATCAACCAAAGCTGAAAAAGAGGCTGGTAGTAAGTGGTCTTTAGTGACATGTTCGAAATCTGACTTTAATGTGAACACTTCCACACCTTATGTTACTTCATATCTTAGAAATTTATTTAGCACCTTTTTCCTTTCTTTTCTGTTTTCTGCTAGTTCATTGTGTTGCATAAAGTTTTTTCTCATGAGTTGCTTTGCATACAACGGATGTTTTACTATTTTAGATTTACTCTGTTCTCTGCAGTCATGAAAGTTTGGAAGTTTTGGGCTTATTTGTTCCGTCTATAAGCAGGTTCATTTTCATAGCTTAAAACCGGGTACCTTAGAGTAATTGTCATTTTCAGCATGTGAAATTGTTTCGAATATGCTTTTCGTTGATCACATTAAGATTATTCATCTAGTTAGTTGCATAAATTTGTTTGGAAAAATTACTTTAATTACCTAACAGCTGCATCGGTAGCGCAAATTAACTTGTCAGTCATTCTAGAATTGTGATTCGACTAGCATTAGTGTGTTGTACATTCATCATGAATATCAACATAGTACCAGGCATTACTGCGTAACGGTCCGATTTGCCATACCTCATATCAGTACATCAAGTAAAAAGGCAGTGAGGTGCAAGATAAAGGGAAGAAAATTCACTCAAAAGAAATACAGAGTACGAAAAGAGAGAAAGGAAAAGTGAAAAAATGGTGAGATTTGGTATAGCGTCGTTAAGATGAGGATAATGTGTGTATACATCTGCGCCACTGACATCGGTTCTGAGTCATATCACCTAGAGTCAGTCACCAACCACTGGTTCGTCTTGTCCCGCCGATCCCAACCACCTAGTCTGCATCGTCCTACATGGCTTAAACCAACAGTCAGAGACTTCATACATTGGTGCCATGTTTTAGTCTGGCCACCTCGGACCTTTTTCCAGCCTGGACCCACCTCAGCCAACATTGTGTGACGAGGCAATCGGTGACTAGGCATACGTAGTACGTGTCCCAACCGTCTCAATCGATGAAGGTTCATAACTTCGTCAACTGATTTACCTCTACTCCCTAAAATTCTACTCCTGACTTCTGCTTCACTCACGTGGTGACACCACGGAATATGGCCTATACTACAAAGGCAACGGTTTTCAAACACCTGAAGCCTTCTTATATCCTCCACTTTCAATGGCCATGTTTCACAGCCATTGAGTAGAACAGAGCGGACTACTGTGCAGTACACGCGACCCTTAATAGACAAACGGATATCATGGCGGCGCCACAGTTGGCGTAATTTAGCAAAAGCCACCTGAGCCTTTCATATCCGTGCAGAGATTTCATCGGCCACTGACCCACCAGGGCTGATCCTACTTCCCAGGTAAGTGAAGTGGTCGGCACACTCAACCACTTCGCTCTCTACTGTTAGCCGTGGTACCGCTGAAGACCAGTTCTGGAGCAACAATTTGCCTTTGGGTGGTGAGAACCGCATCCCAACCATTCTGAAGTTCCCACTCAAAGTGTTCAGAAGACTCTGCATCTTGTCAGAGTCTTCACTTAACAGGACTATGTCATGTTATCTGCATATTCTAGGTCTAACGAAAATTCTCTTGCGATGAGGTCAACCTCTGTGTAATTAAGTGACGAGAGGGAGACCCCTATAAGGAAATCTATGATGAAATTGAATAAGAATGAAGACAGTGGGCACCCCTGTACAGTTATGTTTCATGCCCTTCCCCAATTTTCCCTTCCTTGATGTATGTTCCGTTGTTTACTTTTTAAAGATAAAATAGACGCTTGCTCATATGTTAACAGAACAAGTTGGTGGGTTGTTTGACCATCATTTTTGAGATTTCTCATTCAAATTTCTGGTTTAGGAATTAAAAATACCATTATTTTATTGTCATCATCATTCTACAGACACCCCTCGAAACAAATGAAGTTGATTTCGCTGTATTTTGCTTATCCTTGATGGGAACTAACTGTTCGGAATTTTTATATGAAGCAAATCGCATACTAAAATCGGAGTAAGCATTTTGACTTATTGTTATCATTGTACAATAGACATTTTAAAAATCTATTACTGTCTTCTTGTCTCAAATATTGACTTGTTAAACCAAGTAGTTCTTCCATTTTAGTTCTTTTGTTACATGTATCACACAGTGAGACGGTATCGTTAACTGAATAAATCCAGTTGGAGGTAGGATCTTCTTTTTGCCACAGTAAACAAACTGACGAGTTAACGAAAAGATTATGTTTTGAATGCCGTGATTAATTTCTGACGTCTTTTAAAGCTTGGGCGTTTTCACTTACCTTGATTTTCAAACTCCTCCTCCTCCTACATACCTTTGTATACTTTGACATCAGTCTTATTCTCTCCACTTGTTCTTTGTATGCTGCGGTGAAGTGTGGTAACTTAAACCGATGTGTTTCTGTGAGAGGTTCTATGTTGATTCTATCTGTCTGTACTGAAATGAATAATATTAGAGGCGACATATCATCTAGGTCAAAATATTTCATTTGGTGCTGATAACATGAAAACCACACAAATATAGGCTACCATCTGCGTTCTGCATCCCAGTGTGCTTTACTGTCCTCACTGTAAATTCATGTTTTTCCTCTTAATATTTTGTAATCGTTTGTCAAGAATTTTCATCAATTCTTGCGTTTCCCGACACTGTGCTACCTATTACGCACATGCTTTCCTTCAAGTCACTTTTAACACACTAGGTCTTTTTCTGATTGAAATCTTTTCAAAGGAAGGTTCGCAAATATCTCACTGATTTATTCTTGCTGTTGTGCCCAGTTTTGGCGTTATTCTCTCGAGAATCTTAGAAATCAATAAGTGTTTCTGTTAATTGGTATCGATACATAGATGGTCTAACTATGTGTGAAACATTTGACAACGTACTCTGAGAAAGAAATAGAAATTTATTTCAGTTTTCCGTTTCTTTTTCATGTTGTCACAATGTTGTACAACCGATTAATGTCCATGAAAATGATGCAGTCGTTTAGTTCTTAGACCACTATTACCTTCTAGTCATGATTGAAGCTACTGGTTTATGTGGTTTACAACTTCTTGTGTTTGACAGCATAAATCTGAACTTTTCTCTACAGACCTCTTAATATCGAATTTTAACAAACGTACCAAAGACTTATTGCTGTTCTACATAGTAACACTCATCAATTAGTGATCTTATCGCTCAGATTGCGAATGGTTTTGTTTTTGTATCGCCTCCGGGATGTATTCGATCATCAACATACCTAGACTGGATCAAAGTTTGTCGGAAGAAACAAATAGTAGGTAGAATCAATTAAGTGAGCTTAGGAAAATTCATACTTCTTGGTGTATAAGTATTTTGGCAAACTTTTCTGTTTTTAGATGGAATTAAGGGAAATAAAAGTTGTGTGTAGTAGCATTGCTCTACGCTTTCTTAATCGAGGTAACTCGTTTGTACAGTAGTCAACAGAATCGCACTACAAGTCACTAATCACTTCAGTTATTTTTTCTGAGGCTGGTGAGTCCGTTTTATGCATAAAGTTTTTTTATTTGCAACAAACGATTAGTCATTATTTTGCATTTTGATTTTTTCAGAGGACTTCTGCTGATTGTAGATGTAGCAAGTCGCTTCGATGGAGAATTCAATAATTTTTTGAAAAAGTTGAAACGTTATGGATTTTCCAAGCAATTCTCGGAGACAACTAGCGATACATACTTTGTTCGTGCGCTCCTTCGTAAAGTTTCTTCCTGCATTACTGATTCTGTAAAAGGCCTACCGAAATTGAAGTTAAAGCCTTGTTTATATAAAAAGAAATAAATGATATTTGTATCCCATGATTGTATATCCTATCAAATATATATCTTAACAAATTTGCTCAACGTTTTGTCTGTGTAGTATCTTTGTGCCTGTAACTGATAACTAAACATTTTATTCAATAGGACATCACAACTGCTTCATTTTAACTCATGGAAACTGTTATTGCCCATGTTCGTGAAGGGAATCTTCACGAAGTAAAATTATGGCTAGATGATATAGAAAATGATGTAAATCAAGGAGATGAACATCGGTTCAGTCTGTTGCATTGGGCCGCACGTGAAGGCCAAAGGAATATAGTTGATTTATTAGTTATTCGTGGAGCTCGAATTAACGCTACAAATATGGGTGATGACACAGCCCTACATTTAGCTGCAGCTCATGGACATTTTGATGTTGTACACTATTTGCTTAATTCTCATCGACTGTATGTAGACTCTGCAAATGAGCATGGTAATACGGCTTTACATTACGCCTGTTTTTGGAACCATTTGGAAATCGCTGAGGTAAGAACCGTTAATTAACTTTTAAAGTTACTTTGCATTGCCATATATTTACAATTCCTACAAGCAAGACATGAGAGCAGCAACAAAGCATGGTGAAATATGACACCTGTTATACCGCTGGTCAACGTAGTGTAATACATTTTTGAACTGCCAAGTCCTAGATTTGAGTCTTAACGAGTATAAAAACATGAGGACATATATATCTTTATCTATATGGTAGATATTAAGCATGGTGGAACATGCATCCTTTTTGCTGCTGTCAGCCGCTATTTAATATTATTGTTCTACTCACTGGTAGTTAAAATACATTTCATACCTAGGTCAGTCTTCGTATTTTGTTTGCTATTCACACCTATTGATTTGTTTGTCTATTTTTCGAAAATAATAATGGTGACGTGGTTCATTACTATTGACTTGTAATACCGATTACCCTATGATATAAATGAAATGATATTTACTAGCTAGCGATTCGTAAAGATTTTGGACTGCCTATACATGTAGTATTTCTATTCACTCAGGATATTGAGTGTCAGTACACGTAAATCACCTTGAATCAATTATAAAATCCCGTGGTGAACAAATTGTCATTGTTTCTGTGTTAGTAATATAAACCTGGTGAGCCGCTTTGTATCCTTATCTTATTATTTATTGTCATGTTCCTGGGACAAATTAAGCGAACTGACGCCAATAGACACTCGTAGAGAAAATATAGTTGTGATCTTGTGGAGGTTTGCTTCTCTCATTTCCCAACAATGAGAAGCGTTTGACACTCGCAGCATTTTCAAATGATAGAAAATATGTTTAGCTCAGGAGGATGATTTTAACGTTGTTCTTTGAGTTGAGATGATATAACCGAAAAACTCCATAAACTAGTACCACATTTTGGTCTGGCTACCTTGGAACTTCTTCCAATCCAATCCAACTTCAGCTAACATTAGGCGTCGAAACATCCGGTGGCTCGGCTTATGGGACACATGTCCAGACTACTTCAGTCGCTGAGGGTTCACACTTTTATCGTCTTGCTTAACGTTCTTGTCTAGTATTCTCCACCCAATCCAGGCATTGTTTATATAGAAATTGTGTCGTACATGAGCAGTGCAGCAAAAGTACCTGTGGTCTTTTCAAATTTTCTGCTAATATACTCGTCCCTTCATAGGTGGTCGGATATGTCGCTAGCCTCGAAGATGATGAAAGTTTGCAAATACCAAACGAGCTTTTCATGTCCCAGCCGAAATTTCGTCAGCAACCAGCCCGTTCAGGTTGATGCAGCTCCCCAATTATGCGAAGCGGTCGAAACATTCAACCGGTTGCCTTCTCATCCTTAAACTAGGTGTAATTGCGGACTAGTCCTAAAGCATCATGTTACATTTGAGAAGTGTGAAGCATACTCAGATTTCTACTCAGTGCGTTCACAAGACGCTGCATTTTGCTAGCGTTTTCATCTAACAGGACAATATCGTCTTCCTACTCCAAGTCAACCGGATGTCCTCCAGGGAGTAGATAAATTCTTCTGAAGTCACAGGTACCTTAGGTTATGTCCGTTAGTACATCTATTACGAAATTTAACACAGAATAAAACGAAGGGCATCCTTGATTAACATCAGTGTTTGTCGTCAATCCATATGCCCTTACATGGCCGCATGAGTTCGAGTAGAGAACTTCAATTGGTGTTACATACTTGGTTGATAGTCCCTTTACAGTCACAACATCTTATGCTCGACATAATGGAATGATGCCTTCAGATGGAAAAATATGACAAGTTTCGGCTGCTAGTGTGTATGCCTGTATTGCATGACTCATTGAAGGTTGAAGATTTGATCGATGCACCCCCATCCATGTCTGAAACCTGCCTAGTTTTCCAGAGTTTGTTGTTCTCCAGCTCCAGTTAGGCGTCGGATAACTATAGTCTCAAGGATTTTTGGCACAATATTAGTCAAAATGATTCTCCTATGGTTAGGAAAGGCATGGTTGCCACAAAAAGACTAATCTTCCTCCCTACAGACGAATCATCAGTGATGTAGATCAGTCTGACAGAAATGCCTCTGATTCCCATACACTACCTAGCATCTCTGCTACTCTTCTCAGTAATTTCTTACAGTCATCCTTGAAAACCTCTTGTGGTAAAATGTCAGGTTCTGCTGCTTTGCATCGTTTCAGATTCTATACAACCTCAAATTTAGGGAGAGTTGGAAGACTGGGTCCCATTCGGGTTCTGGCTGGATGCTGGACAACTCGAGTGTTGCTGTGAACAAGTTGAACTGTGTTTCAAAGTGTTCTGCCCAACCTTCTAGCTGTCTCGCCTGGGAGGTTATCAAGGTCTCATCTTTTTCTGTGACGGCTTCACTAAACATCATCTTGCCAGCATCCTTAATCGGTCTAAATAATCGCCGAGTATTGCCTAGTGTTGTTACCTTCTCCGTCGATCACTTTCGCCACCCACCACTGTTCATGGTCATTATGAAGGCTCTTAGTTAAATTACGTTTAAGTATCTTTTGTTCTTCATTTCAGTCATAGCCGGCTGAAATAAGTTTTCTAGCAACAAGATGTTGGGATGAGGTTGTGGAGGTTCATTGACGTTCTCTAACTTTCGATGTAGTTTTCCAACTATCTCTACTGGTGTTTGTGCAACAGACTGAATATCATGCCAGGTTTCCTCAGGATGAAGATTGCTGTCATGTCCAGATAGATTCTGAGTTATCTTTTCTCTAAATTCGTATCTGACATTCTCATCTTTTAATCGAGCGTATACAGGCTTCACTTCCTCTTGTCTTCTGTGACCAGTAAGACTGGTATTACGCGTGACCGTACTAACGCGTGATCGAAGTTAAAAATAGCACTCTAGAAAAAGTAGTAGTTCTCCACCGATCTTCTTCAGTGATAGTTTATAGCAATCCGATCTATCTGTGTACATCTTCGGTTTGTTGTCGGCGGATGCCATGTTAGACAATGTCTCTCCTTATGGTCGAATTCGGTGCCATCAGAAGCAGGTGATCGCAAAAACAAAATTGCAGTGCACGATCACTGTTTTCGGTTCTTTGGCGTGGGATTCCGTAGATATCCCCAATATGCCTTCCCAGTTGGTTCAGCTTTCCACGTCCAGTGAGACGTAGACATAAACGTGCTCGAACCAACAAGTGGTCGGTGTCCAAATACGTGCTTCAGAAGGAGCGACAGCCTTTCACCAACCCTCTCCATCGATGACTGATAGCAATGTGGTTTACCTGCGTCCATCGCCGAGTTGAGCTCAGTGGACGCCACGTCAGACAATATCTTTCTTCACATCTGAAGTTTGTGCTAGCTAGAAGTAAACGGTTATCTGAGCACAGCTGTAGGAGACGATCACTCTTATCTGTCCGTTCAGCTAGACTTCCGAAAGTGCCACCTAAATATCTTTCTGTCTAATTCAGTCTACCAATTTGTGCATTGAAATCACCTGCAACAACAACTATGTCCAGATGTTTGACTTTTAGAAGGCTAGACAGTTTTCGATAGGACTCATCCTTCTATTCATCTGAACTGCAGTCAGTGGGTGTGTAAGCAGAGATTACGAAGAGACAACGGTGAGTTTCACTATTTTTTTTAGTTCTCACTGTGCCGTTCAAGTGGACTACGCATAGGTTGCTTTTTGTTTTACTACTATTCAACAGACCTTCCTGGCATGGTAGAACCTCAAAGAAAAAACGTTTCAATCAGCGTAACCCATTGACTCATTGCGATGCACTACATTGAAGCAGCACCTGTTGGTTGAATTATCATTGTTTAATGGCGATATATTTACTAGTTTAGGTTATCAGTTAGTCGATATCAGGATATTATTCTGTATTACTGCTTAGCGGTTCAACTTGCTACTCGTCAGCATGCCAAGATATAAAAGACTGAGGCTTAAGGCCAAAAAATGAAAGTAGTGTAATTAATAATCGTTGGAACTGATGAAAGAGAAGTACAGAAGGTTCAGCAATTAATGAAATAATATATGAGGACTATGCGCAAGGTAATATGTGAAATGAGGTAATGACTGAAGGTAGAATTAAAATGTCGATCTCTTTGACATTCAAAGCAAGGTTAAGACCCTGGTCAGCAGTTGTATCTCATATCTTAACTGATAGTGTTCATTCGATAATACAGAGACCGCTGATTCGAATCCTTCCATGACTCAGTTTTTCACTTCACTTTTAATCATTACGCCGTATTATAAATGTTAGTCTGCGCCAGCACTACTCAGTCTTATGAATAATTTCGGAAAGACAACACCAGCAGAATCTGCTTACTATAAATAGTCTGACTATTTGAATGAAAAGTTTGTGCACCATGGAATGAATATGTAACTGTATTTGTAACGAACATATACATAGCATGATGAGTTTGTAATTTAGATAAAATTTTGTGCAAATTTACTGCTTGTAATAATATCAACCGTTAGAACTACTTATTACCAAAATTAGAAAATTAGCAGTGTGTATATATTCCTAATAAATATAATAAGTAGTATGTTTGCATGCAATATTAAGTATGGAATTAATTTGTGATAAATACCTTTTTAGACCAGCAGTGAAGGTTTAGGTGATTTTATATGTGTGAGATACTAAATACAACTTCATATGGTGTAAATATCCCTTGTGTTTTCCAATTGAATAGTGTTTAAAAAATAAGCGATTGTTTTCAGAAATTTAGAAATGAAGCTTTGTAATCAACACAAATAAGATGTACATTTGATGATTTGTTAACAGAATCCATGAAATTTGATTCATTAAGAAACTATTTGTATTCTTCATTAAAGTATTTAATCAAAAATGGAGCCTCTCTTATGCAAGAGAATAAATATGGCGAAACTCCATTAGAATTGATTCGTCCTCGTGCAGCTGCTTTGATTGCTCCCTTAGCTCAAGCTTTAGGACATGATTTGTCACACCGTCGACCTTTTCGTGATACAAGTTGGATCGGTACAAAAACAAGAGCACGTGATGCTACTCTTTATCGTCTTGAAGGTGAATCTTGGGACCCTCGAGAAGTTGAACTAACTGGAGCTTTGGCTGATGGTCATGGTGCTGAGGTATTGAAAGGATCGTTTAGACGATGTCCCGTAGTTGTAAAGATGTTAAAACTGCGAAATTGTTCAACTCGGCAGGTTAGCGGGATTTTTTGTCATTGTTTCCAGACATTTCTACTTTTAGTCATGTTTTTCATTCTAAGCTGTTTATTAATTTAAATACATATATATAGTCACTTAAACATTGCTACATTTCCACTTCCTTTGTGTGTATTTGTTTGTGCACCAACACACATTGGATCTATTTTTTCATGTGAGTAATACAAACTGAGCAGTATTAATTCTAATCCCCAGTTGTAAAATTTACTTCAAAAGAGAGCGATACGAGTAAATGCATCATGAATATCACCAGACCAATTTTATAACATCAGTCCAAGTTATCTAGGCAGTAAATGAATACCACTGTGCAGAACAGAAATCAAGCGTAGACTAAGCAAATATTAGGCACGGATAGTAGGTTTTCTGTATTTTGAGCCTTACTGGTGTTGGTTACAATATGCAGTCACTAGTTTTGATAGCCAGACGGAAGATCTTACTGCAAAGCACATAACCCCTTGAAAAAGTTGAAGAAAGTTGAGACTGTTATGGTTCAATGTCAACTCTGTACTTGATCACTCCTACTGTTTTTTTAATTTCGCTTCGCTGTAGCCAGTATCCTACTTTCATGTGTGCAACTACTCCTAGTTTGAGGATAGAGAATGAAGTGGTGGAATGCGTCCACCACTAACTTGTGTCTTCTGTCGCGCCTACTGGCGAGATATCCGACTATCTATCGAAGAACGAGTATACTACACTACATTCTGTTCTGTTCAGTTATACGTTTGTGAGACATGACCGATAAAAGTAGGAGATTGATTGCAGATTTTCTATCACAGGTGTCTTCAGAGCATTGCTTGCGTTTAGTTGAGTTTTTCACTTCATGCTAAGAAATAATTTTATGCTTGTAACCTCATTTTGCGATTTTGAAGTGGTTTATCTTACTAGTATGTATAAATGCATATTTAGTAATGGAAACGTACAGTATGCTCGCTATCTTGGGGATAATCATTGTCCTGACATGTCATTCGTAATCAGTACAAATCTTTAGTGATTGAGACGGTATACATGTAACCAGAGAGACTCGTGTACTCTAGTTGGTTGATTTCGCTTTCTCAGATTTTGAATATTGTCTGAGGTATCGTTTAGACTTGTCACAGCTGAACATTGAGACATGTGTTTAATTGTTGAGTTTTTCATGAATAATAATTGAAGCTTCTCTTTTATTAATGTATCAGTTAAATTTAATACAAGGTTATTGGTAGGCTGTGCCTGTTTAATTCACTTGCTTTGAAGTTATCTTCTCTTTTCCGTCATAGATTGTATTTTCTGTCAATTCACTTAAGTATTCTCAATAGTTTTAATCAATCTCTTCAAGCTGAGTCAAAATGTATAGGTCATAAAGATTTTTTTGGTTGGTTGTGGCTAGCAGAAGAATGAAAGACGCATAGTGGATAACGCCTTGGCGTTTAAAGCGATGGGTACGAGGTTCGAGTCTCAGTGGGAACAACATCACTGGGGTGCAGGTACACCCAGCTGACGAGTTCCAAATAGGACGAAACGCGCATTCTGGATTCTTCTGCTAGCCACAACCAACCAAATTATCATAATTAACATTCAGGCAATATCGAGGCATCCGCATAAGAGCCCATATACCAATAGAGGTCGAACAATTCGATCCAACAAAACAACGGAGAATAACAAGTATGCCAATAAATAGTCATAAAGATTTTGTTATTTTTTCTTGAACCATTACAATTTCCACCGTCAAATTGGCTTCTAGTCAGTACTTGCATCCATCATATCAGTAATCCTCTGGAACTTTTTCTCTATCATCGTTTCATCTACTGGATTCAGGTTTTTAAACATAGTGTTTCAGCTAGTTCCACATTTTCATCCTCTTAAAACTTTTAAGTTCTTATAAAATTTCCATCGGAAAAATACCCTTTTTGTTTGTTAACTTTGACATCAAATAATAAAATCTCCATCGTTTTATTAGCTGATATATCTGTCTGTGACTTTATTCCTCTATGGTTGAAATATTCAGTTTACTGTCTTACATTTACAACGAAATACATCAACAATTCATCTTACTTTAATAATTTAGGCACGTGATTTTAAAGATGAATTCCCAAAACTTCGTATCTTCAATCATCCTAATATACTACCAGTGTTGGCTATCTTCACAGCAACACCACGTCTTTGTCTTGTTAGTGATTTTATGCAATATGGAAGTCTTTTTGATGTTCTACATCAACCAGGCGAAGTCAATATGAATGGTGTGACTGAGATAAGTCATCGACAAGCTTTACGATTCGCAGTGGATATTGCCAAAGGCATGGAGTTTCTACATTCACCAGAGTTAAAAGTGTCGAATTTTCGATTAAACTCAAAACATGTAATGGTAAGTTATGCCGTATAATTTTTTTCAGAGTGCATTTTCTGTCTAGTGTTTCGAATCAATTTTATTTTGTGCATAATATGTTTTGTTTCTATACTTCTGACAGTTTAATTTCAGATGGAACTTTATTCTCTATGGAAGTTAGAAAAGTAGTAAATATGTTCTGTAGTCTATGCTTTTATTGTAAGTGGAAGTTGAAGATTGCAGATATTTTAGTCAATTAGTATCCTGCAAAGCTTTGTGACTGGTTGTCTTGGCTACATTTATTTCACTTTTTGTCACTTACTACTAGTTAGTAGGCTGGAAACGTCTTGTAATAATTTCTTTTTGTCATCTTCCCTCAACAGATCATATTTGCTATTATCATCCCCCTCAAATGCCTTCAATTTTTTAAGCTTCAGTGATCATATTGTAACCTAAAAGCCTAAGAATCGACTTCTTAACAGCGTGTTCCTTATTGATTTCGAATTCTTAAATGAGTTGACTGTACAGCTGTCCGTCAGTTTGGTTACAATCTTGCGGAGGTTTTGACGCCCAAATTATCAGCTTTCTTCAAAAAAGAAGTAATTTTAAGAGTCTCGGAATTAAGCTTCATTTTCAGCTGATGGGAGACCATTTAATAGAATTTCTTTTGTTTTGACATTTTTTCCCCTTTGTCCCTTTATTTTGTCAACATATTCCAGCAGGAGCACCAGCTATTGTACTAAACTATGAAATACATTTACTATGTTAGATTAAGGGCCATTTTCTTTATAAGTACAACATATTGGTTATAATTAGGGGAGACGTTTTAGAAAGCGTCTGTGTATTGGTCAGCAGCGTTAGCCAAATCACATTCACAATAAATGAAGGATCGAGGTACTAGCTTTCTGAAATATAACGGCTAAATTGATAACAAGTGAATAAAAAATCAGTTCTCATCGATCAAGTCATTAAATGTCGAAGTTATAACCCAACAATATGCAAAAGTAATTGGCTATGTAAATTATTTAAAAGGGCAAAGACGTAGTGTGGCGTTTACTCACCTGATGGAGAAAAACAAAAAATTGGTGTTATACTTCTACTACAAAAGGATAATTACCTAAGCAGTTTGGCCAAAATATTTTCTCCGAGCTTACCATCAACTAAAAAGTTGTATTTTTAAACCTCTGCAAAGAGAGTCTTAAAGATTGCAAGTAGACTGTCAAAACAACTTACAATTATTGTGGTTGCAAAGTCTGAAAAGTATCTACAGTTGATTATGCAAACAGTAAAACTCAAGGAAAATAGACCAAACTAGTCTATAGCGCTAGGGGGACACGGTAACTCTATATCTTTGTATTTATGGTCAACTACAAACAAATTCAGCTGAAGAGATATGAGAATGGGGTCAAGGAAATACAAATAATGTTAAGAAATGTTTTAGAGGCTTACCACTTAAGTCAATCAACAACTAATATGCGTATCACATTGTCCCGATCTTTCAACCTATGGAAAACATAAGAACTGTGTAAGGTCAAAAGTCAGTTTAGCAAAGTATCCAACCTAAATGCGTGTGCTGGTAACAGCACAGCTACTTCAACAACTCAGGTCATGAGTACAATCTACTAGATTGCGTCCAAACTTTGTAGTTTTGAGTGGTATTAAGTGATTAAACCGTCTACTAGACTAATCTAAAATCCTCCTTGTAAGCTACAAATTGAACTATTTACTGAACATACATGATCTGTCTTTTCAGTCAAGTGACAACTAGATGATGAGTCTGTGAAGGAAACTGTATTTTAAGTTGAAACATTAGCAGCTAGATTGTTCAGTCAATTCAGATTTATTTAGTTTGTTTTACATACATTTCCGTTTTCTTAATTTCACATTAACCCGTTTTATACGACTTACCTAGACACTATAATCAACAGTTTCAATCAGTATATCTCTGCTTTTGTATATCAGTCCTCTATATACATCTGTTAAACGTTTTACTAAACCTCTCATTTAGTGTTTTGAAATTTTCTTCTATAGAACTTGGAAAAACAATACGGCGTTGTTATTTCTTGTTTTAGAAATACTTTTCGACTTATTAGTTTACTAAATTACTAACTGGGTACTAATGTAAAAAACAGCATTCACAGCAGACTAGTGTTTTTTCTCTCTATTGTTTATATGGTCTACATTTGCATTTTTGTTTTGCTAAACATTGAGGTCGGCCAGTGGGTGTTTTGTTGTGTATGGCGCTACCTAGTTACTGTATGTCTGTTTACTATATGAGCTGAGCTAATTGAGAACTTTGGAATGTTATTTAAGTGATGTATTTTACTTCATTCCTATGTGCATTTGTATTCACGTTTCAATACGTTCAAGTGTCATAAAAGCGCTGAAAAAGTCGGATTATTTTTCTTAACGTTGTCTATGCTTTATTCTCGCATTTTACCTTTTTATTTTTAATCTTATTACTGGTAATGTGTCAAGTTGTAACTTGGTCTCTGTGATCATTATCTACAGTTGTTTCTTTGTTCAGCCAAGCCCATCTCATATACTTCAGTATCGAGAAATGGGGCTAGTGTATATATACTGGGCAACTTTAAAGGTCACCCTATCAACGATCGAAATAACCAATTAGGTTTCTTCATTTTGGCTAGAAAGGCAGATTTTCATGAAATATAGAAATCTAATTGGTTATTTCATCTGTTGTTAAGATGGCCTTTAAGATTACTCGTGATTATAAAAGGTGGTGGAGATTTCGAAATAACGCCTTTGATAATTGTGCAGTATCACAAACCTTCACATAATGAACATGAGTCGTAGCCTAGTACACGAAACATGTACAGGGTCGAGTTATCTTTATTTGTGCACTTAAGAGAATGCAAAATATAAATTTCTATAGCAATGGTCGGCTTAACTAAATTTACTGAAGTAGACTTTTTGATAAAACACAAAAAGCAGTGTTTCTAGCTTCTTATAGGTTATTGTATTAGTAACCGCCCTATTTAGTTTCACTTTATGTTACTTTGACTGTTTCATCTCTTAGTACTCATTGTAGTATTAACTTTGGTTCAAGCAACACACATATTCACTGTTAATTCCAAAATAGCTATAATTAGATCTCATTAAAGTAAAGTCCAGAGCAAAAACATTGAGGTTTATTTTAGCTGTCACTTGATCATTTTAGATTTAATAGTATTTCGAATGTAGAAGTGTCCTTGAAAGTTTTACCTACCATCCGCATGACTTCAAGCCCAGTAAGTGATTGGATTATTCCAAGCTGATGCACAAGGTTTAATTTTATAAGGTTTACATCTGATAAGTTGTCAAGGCAAGTATACTTTTATATTACGTCTAGAGGAGCAATTTAGCGGGTCGGAGTGAACTCCATGTTGACAGATTGACGCTTGTGGGATTTAAACTAACACTTGTTTCGTGATATGCAGTAAGTTATGGTAACACCCGATAAATCGCTTCGCCACCTACCAATCCTGAACTGTATGTCCAGACTTGAACTATCTGTTCGAATTCTTGATTACTCTCAACTTCATTTCGTGATACAAGAAACAGAATCTTACATTCTTGGTGATGAAAAATTCATCACTACTCTTTAGTCTGATTGCATCAACTCGCTTTTTTCACTCTGGCGGTATAATGTTTCCGTTGATCTCCAACGGACATTTTGTTGGCTCACTGCAGTGATTAATGATTGATCGATATACTTCTAGAAATGAAGCAAGATCCCTGCTCGAATTTAATCTCTTATCCACTGCATCGTATTCTAAATACTACATCTGCCCACTTTATCTGTATTTGACTGGAATGTTTTCAAAGAATTTTTTTAGTACTGGGGAAATCCATTATGGTTTAATAATCTAACTCAACTAAATTGGTCTCACTATTCAGACTTTTATCGATGATTTCGTCATAGAATCACGAAATTCAGCCTACCATTTACAAGTTATTATGACGTACAGGGTTGAGTCTTAGCCATTCAAAAGAGCTTTCACATTTTTGAATTAGGACTTCAACTAATGGTTGCAACTTCCAAACACCAATTTTAATGAGACCGTAAACAAAACTGGGAATATGAACGCATGAGGTTCACTAAGTTTTGCCACCGTAAATTGGCAATCCGATGCAAGCATGTGCTTTTTTAGCAGTTCTTGTTGAAGTGCTGTTTGATACCACATGTGAACGGGGCTCGAAAACATTTTGTATTGAATATCTTGCTGCGCATAATTGAACACGGACAGGCCTGAAAAAGCTCGAATTACATTGCTCTGGTAAGAAATCTTCAATAAATCGAAACCTTTCTACAGAAGAGAAAAATGTATTTAATATGGTTAAAGAGTTGATGTTGCTGTTCAAGGGACATCACCGATTGCTATTATAGCCTACCAATGTGTTTGGAACGAGTTATCGTACATTAGATCCCTTGTTATGCAGTGGTTACGTTTCTTCTAAGCAAACTGCAGAAAGATTCAAAACTCCACTGTAATTATGGAGCAGTTACAGAAACACGTGAGGAGAAAGTTTTTGTGCGTAAATTACTCATGAACCTGAGAAAATCAGGATGATATTCGATTTAACAGGAAAGTTCACTGATTGATTTCCATGTAAACTGACAAATGATCCAACAGGTTTTGTCATTCAGTCGCTCCACTGCTCATATCGAAAAGATATTCTTCAGGTGCACCTTGCTCTGAAAAGCAAAGCTTCACCAGGCTTTTTTGTGGTGTATCCGTTTACTTGTGTTCATTGCCTTAAGGTTATCAACTAAATGTTCTGTTGTTTGGTGCTATTTCTATTCCATTCTACGCATCGTTTCCACTAATGCAAGGAGCGAGAAACAACCGCGATTCGGCGCAAAATGGAGTATTTTCAATTTTAGAGGAATTTTTTGTATAGTATCTGTGGAATTTATAGATGAGTCAATTCTATTCGTAGAAGAGAGGCGTTGGTAATAGCAAAGTGTTGGGAACGATACCACTTAGTGAGAGGTCAGATGATAACTTCCAAGTTTTCGCTTGAAAAGTCACGTGGTC